TTCCTGCTGGCAGGACTGAACAGGTTTAATACAGCGCCAGTTAGGCGAGAGACACTTTTAGTAGCTTAAGATGTGTATTTGATTTTTTAACAGCATATTTAATTTGCTGGAACAATACATTTTAGAAAATGATTAAAGGGACTAACCACCATACATATGAATATGTTTGAAAGCATGTTGACAAGTATTCAACAACAGGCCTTAGGAAAACATGTGCTTATAAAAGGTGCCCATTTCCAAGACCAGATTTAACACCGTTAGTCACCTAGGCGCTCAGGAGAAGAGTCTCTGAGACTGGGATTCACAGCCGCCCACGTGCTGAGCTCTGGGATGCCTGAGCTGGTCAGCAGGGAGTGACCTGCTGGATCTGCCCTGCTGCAGGAGCGTCTCTCGGGTCCCTTCAAAAGCTAGATTTTGAGCTGGTGCCTGTGCTTTTGTTCAGGTACCTCCTCCTCATGCATAGCTGTTGAGATTCCTGTTTCTGTATTTCAAATGGCCTTAAGCATGATATGATTGATTAGGTGCCACAGAGAGACAAGAATGCTGCTGAATACGGCCATTAGCCCAACTCTAAGTACCTTGGAAAGTTTGTGTGTGAAAACATAGGAGTCTAGGGAGTGTCAAATGCTTGGTTTAAGCAAGTTAGGTGTGACTTTTTGTCCTGTACTTAGGTTCATAAATTTTGTCTGTATTCGGCCTTTAAAATTAGGATTCTGAGTTAGTTGATGCCTGAACAGTTTTTAATAGTCAGGTGTTTGTGAATTATTTTAGTATAATTCTGGAGCAGTTATATCCTTTTGTCTATAGTCACAGTTCATGACTATGTTTCAAGGTGGAGGAAAAGCCCCTTCACGTGTACAATGGTCTCTATTACATTGCTGGGCTTGGGCTCTGGTTCCACCAGCGTGATACATCTGTGTTCAGGCTCTTGCTTGACGCACTGGCTAATCAAGCCATGAGGAGAACGCAGGGTGGCCATGCAAGTATAGGCGTTTGAAACGAATATCAACACTTGGGATCTCAGTCCGCTTATTATTGGATTGTCTTGACAGCTAAAATACATTCCCCTTACTTTTACATTCATATGCAGTATGTTATTATGTTCTATGTTCAATTTTGGGTACTCAGTTTAATGCTTTAGGCAATAGTTTACAAGTGAGTTGCCTGATGACAGCTCTGGTACTTCCTTTTTATACAACTGTGTTTTTCCTGTTTGTTTTACTTTCCATGCTATTATTAATGTCTTTGCCTGTTTTTAATGTTAAAATTTATTTTTGCTTAGAACTTTGACCATGCCTGCATTGAGTCTATAACGCTAGTTCTTGAAGATGATGTGAGCAAACAAGTAACTCTTGCAAGATATGGTCAAGTGCAAGTTGGCCCTAACCAAAGTTTTAACCTCAATGGTAAGAAATGTGAACTCTGGTAAAACTCTACTCCATACGTTTCTTCTAATAATATTTTTCTATGGAAAAGCTGTTTCTTGGAAAACAAATTATGCGCTGTACAATCACTTATTTCTAATAACCTTAGATGAGAAAGGTACTCTTTCAACATGATGCAATAGAGTCTCCCATCGTGCCTTCCTCATTTCTTTGCGTTCCTTATCTCCCAGAGTACCTAGAAATTCCTCTTGTTTGTGTGTATTTAGGGAGAGGAGGTAATAAAAAGAAGGGAGGTGAAGAAAGGTCAGAAATCATCTTGATGCTGATGCTAAGGTCCAGTTTGATTAAAGTTTCTTGGAATATATCACATGGAATAAAATGCCATGTGCTGTAGGGTATCAGTCCTGGTTTCAGTGCTGCCTTAGGTTGTGAATTCAGGCAGTTTACATCAATTTTTTGGAAAAGGATAGTAAGATAAACAATCCTGTTAAGGTAGATTAAAATTCAGCACTGAAAGTGGAACCGATATTGCCAAATGTATATATCTCACAGTGACTAGCAGTGGATTCTTACTCAATTGTTTGCCTCTTTTCTGAGGGTAGAATAAAACTTCCCTCTTCCTTTCCCAGCCTCTGGCAATTAGCAGGTTAGTGAGGTCTGATGTGGTGGTGGTGGCCATATCTTTTCTTCACTGAATTTGCCCAGTCCTGCTTTTGGCATTCACAGCTTCCTACGGCAATCAGTTTTATAGTTTAGTTGTACTTTTAGCTATGTTAAAAGTTCTGCTTGGTAATTTCATTTTATGTCTTTTGAATCAATCCTTATTCATTTTCTTGTCTATTTTCACACTCCACAAGAAGTATAATGTATGACAAATATTTTAGTGTTGCATTCTTGATAATTGGGTATTTCTGTAAGAACTTTTGTCAGCTAAGAAAATCTTTAAGCTCATGTAAGCGTTTTATTAGCCTCTTTGCAATTTATGCAGCCAAGTACATGTGTATGTACACACACACTCACACTCACAGATATATATATTTTATACATCTATCTATGCTGACTGCAAAGGACAACCTGATTTAAGCCTGCAACTGCAAGTAGCCCGATCACGATGTGTAGCAAATGAATGCAATGACTGTGAAATTTCCATTTTCTGGTATAATGGATTTGATGGGAAGGGAAGCTAGGAATTTGATAGGGCTTTAGTTCACACACAACTTAAGGAAGGAGCTATACTGATGTCGTATCAGTAGTAGTAAGGTGGAACCTTGTAGCTGAAGATTGCAATGCATCTTATGGACACCTGTTAATGAAGCTTGTAACATTCCTCGGGGCTAGAAACAAGTGGTTTCTCGTCTTGCCTTCTCATTGCCAAAGGGATACTTTTTTTGCACTGCTTTCTTGACAAAAAAATTAGATATGAGAGTGGTTTCTGTGTAACTCACAGATACAGAAAGGTGAGGCACATTCCTACTGCTGACAGTAGGACACAAGTTGCAATGCCTGATTTATGTTGCTAATGATGAGGATGCGTAGTCTCGTACGCAGCGATGGAGATTGTTATGTGGAGGTTATGTGGAGACAGGTAAGGTTGCACGCAGTTTCTCATTTGATTTCTGAGTTTTCAAAATCGTTTCTTTAATGGGTAAACCGGTAGAACCTGGAAGCTGGATTTCAATGACTTCGTTTTTCTTTTCCTTTTGCTGTGTTTAGGGGCTGTTGAAATTCAGAATATATCTTCTTTATTTGTCCAACTGAAAACCAGTTTTGGTTTAAAGATACTCTTTGCTAAAGATGGAGAGAGGCTCTACATTCAAGTTGACATCAGCTGGAAGAGAAGAACATTGGGACTATGTGGAACTTATAATGGAAATCTAAGAGATGACTTTCTGTATGTTACATACTGTACATTGAGGTTGTGTTTAATTAGAAATGAAATAGTTTGGTAAACGTTATCAGCTGGTCAGTTCATTTCATTAATGTGCTCACACTATATCAGATTAGCCAATTAAAAAACATACTTAATTACAACAGTAGTCACTTAATTTATGAGTTTCAGATTTTAGTGATCCAAGTCATTTTTACTTTTAATAAGAAAATTAGCATATTATTTACAAAAGTTATTGGACCATGATATTGTTTGAATGCTTTCTTTCTCCTCCATGCTTCTCTGTTATCATCGGAGCAAATACCTACCTGAGCACTGATAAAAAGAATCGATGATAATGCTAATAGTGTTCTCACCTGATTAACACTGCTAGTACTTGTTTTTTTTTTTTTCCCCATCAAGTTTTAAGGGAAAAAGTGTAATTCTGAATCACAGGAATAATTTAAGGGCTCCCTTTCCTTATTCTTTGGGTTCAGTTCCTTGAAAGTTCCTCAAGCCATGTCATCACAGATTTTTTAAAGCAATAAGAAACGTTTTTCAAATGTTCAATGAGCAACAAAATGCAAACAATCCCTCTCTAGAACATCAAAATTAACGGATCGAATTTTTGACGTTTCACTGAATGTATGTGCTTTAATGGCCAAATTCTACTCTCATTAATGCTTTCTGCAGCTGATTTCAACATACTTGTGTTAAGTATAAGTGCAGGCAGACCTTGAGGGTAAAAATATTTCTTCATGAGTCAAATATGAGGGGAAAAAGCTTGATATTTCCTCTCTTCTTCTATACTTCATGGATGGAAATTCTTCAGGCATGTTGAATATTCAGAGTAACTATGCATTTGAGGCTTTCTGATGTACTTGTATCCTAACCTGCAAAGACTGTAAGGTCAGTGAGATGCATGCCATGCCAATCTCTTCCTTTTCAGTTCTCCAGCAGGGATGGTAGAAGGGACCCCACAACTTCATGCCAATGCATGGAAGGTTTCCTCAGCTTGTTCTGTGCCTATCAACATTCCTGTGGTTGATCCCTGTAACATTAATCAGCAAAATGGTATGTTTTCAGATGGGATTTGGGAATTAGATTTATCTTATTATTATGGCAGATTTTCGTTTTCTATGTGAATAAGTTTCACTGTTACTTACTGTTCATTGATGAAAAAAGATAAATTACGTCATTTAACTTCTGTTTTAGATGCTCATTCTTTCTTTTTCTTTTTTTGGCAAGCACCATTCTTTCCATACATTTAGTAAGTAAACTGATATAAGTCAGCTGACCATTTAATGTTGGATGTGCTGGCCACTAGCCCTGAATTCTTTTATCTAATATCCATGCAATGTGTTAGGCAAAACGCAGTCCATTGTCCTGTAAGTTGTTCCAATTAAGAGGAACATCTAGTATTCTCGATGTGTGCTTGTTAACTGACAAAGAAGGAATGGGAGACAGTATCTTGCCTAGCCAGTATTCAGATCAAAAGTCCTGTTTCTGGCTTCTCCTCACTTGTATAAGTTGCATTTAAAAATTTCCTTATCTTCTGTCTATGCTGTCTCTCAAACAAACCTATACAAACAATCTGAGATCCCCAGATTTGTTCAAATGCCTGAGTAAATATTTAGTTTTGGCTGGCAAAAGTGCTTATGTTTCCGGTTAAATTTTCCCTGACACTATGTCTTCCTTTTTCATGCTGCTGTTCTTTTCTTCTCTTTGTCTGAACTGAAAATCGTTGCCAAATTTTGACATAATTTAGTTTAGTGTTTTTAATGTTTCAGACGAGGACTGACGAAAAATGTGAGATGCGGCCATGTTTAGAGCCTGTGAGTCTAAACCTAGGCTGTTAACCTTTTAAGAATCTAGGGTTTTATCAGACTTTTTATACCTTCGAGATTGGCTAATCTTCTAAAGCAATACATCTTTACCAACTCTCTTCCTAGTGGTGGTTTTCTGCCTCATGGCCATAGCTCGATTACAATATGATGATGGCCCAGATGGTTTCACGTCTCACTTTCAGTTCTGTGTTTCCTCAGTGAAGGTGGAGTTTGCCATAAATTTAAGCAGCTTAGAGCAGGATGTTGAACTAGATGACCTTCTGAGGTCCCTTCCAATCTGAATTTTCTTTTGGCCCTGTGTCATGGGAAAAAGCAATCCCTGGGTCCTGCCACATGCTGCCACCCGTACCACCAGCACAAGCATTTTTTTCAGATCTCTGAAACCAGAAGAAAAAACTTATTTGTCTGTTTACTTACTTATTTTGTCAGGTTACGTTTTGGCCAAATCCAGATGACTCCTTGAATCTGGTTTACTGAGAGACTCCAGGAATCCTGGAGTCACTGTGTGGGTGGGAAGGAACACGGAGGAGGAAGGGTAGGGACTCTATTTTAGCAACAGACTTGATTTAAACATGCTCCGGACTGTGGTGTTCCTGAAATAGTCTCTACTTGTTTGGAAAAGCTGGTGGTAATATTGCTATAGTGGTAGGAGGAGGGTTTGTTCGTACTAGGAGGTATATGGCAGACTTAGGACTGGCATGCCCCTGAGCTCCAGTTTGTAATGCTTGTTGAGGCCGCATGCCAAAAAGTATATTGTTATTGCTGGTTTCAAAACTAAATAAAACATCAAGCAGGAAAAAACAAATTCCAAGCTTTGGAGGACTCTTCTAGCTAACTCTCTTAAAATAAGTTGTTTTGCCATTTATGCGTTTCCTATGTTACTATAGGAAGACATAACTATTTTTATAAAGCTATTTTTATCTTAAGCGGAGTTTGTTGCTGAGAGAATTGCTTACAAATACCCACTTTAAATTGTAGAACGTTGCAAAAAGACTTTGCATAGAAGCTGTGGCTGTACAATTGGCTGAGTGCCTTTGGTTTTAATATTCTGTGCTATTCATTTGATTAATTGTTACATAACCTGCTAAAACAATATCACCTTCTCTCAGTTGGGTACGCATCTCACTGTGATATCATCAATCAAGAACTTTTTGCTCCCTGCCATGCCTACATCAGTCCAGGATTATATTACCAGCTGTGCCGTTTTGATGCATGCAAATGTGGAAGCAGCTGTTTGTGTAATGCGCTTGCACAATACGCTTATGTCTGTGGCAAGCATGGAGTTGCTATTGACTTCAGATCTCATATTTCTTACTGTGGTGAGTAACATTTGCAGAAATGTGAAAAAATCTAGAAATAATCATTCACCCCAAAATACAGCAAATTGATATTTTATGCTGGAAACTAGAATTGTGCCATGGGGTAATGAAATACTCAGGGGAGAATCCTAATAGCCTTTATGTTAGACATCTAACTCAAGGGCTCTGAGTTACCTCACAGGGAATGTCTGTCCCTTTCCATTGACTACGAGGAGACCTTCAATTTCTAACTTTGAACCTTTAACTCATATTGCAGCCTGCATTAGACTACGGTAGGCAGCATGGGTACAGTCAGTGTAGGCAGGATACTGCTGCAATGCATAATAATTATATTATGCATAACGTATAATAATATTACAATATTACCGGTTCATTCAGGGTGGAGCTGATGATGTGTATGGTATTGTTGTTACTGAAGCTGAGCCAGAGTTTAGAAACTGAGAGAAAGCACAGCAAGGGCAGTGGAACCAGGAGGTTCTGGGGTATAGTTCTGTGTGTACAGGAGGCCCTGTGCACATACCACAGATACATCCTGAGATATTCTGCATACAGTAATTGTGTGTGTGTGGGGGGGGGGCGGTGGTTGTTGCTTTTTAAGAATTGGAGAACTTACCTGCACCAAATATTCTTAAGAGGATCCTTGACCTTTCAATATTACCAGACTGATGAAGGGAGAACATAAGATACAAATGATTACTCCTTTCAATCCCTGTTATTTAAAATATTGTTTCTTATCTGAATATAATTTTCTATTTTGCAAGAGGAATGCTGAGAGAGGCCTCTCAGGTCTCAGGAAAAAAAATCACCAAAGTGGTTTGCCAAATAAGTTATAGCGTTATCTGTGGCAGAGCAGGGATTTAAAACAAGGCATCTTTCAGTCAGGAGTAATGCCCTATCCACTAGACCATTCTTCCTCTCTTGGAAGCCTGAGTTACTACATAAACACAGATACACGCATGCATTTGTACACACAGGTGTGCAAGAAACATACACGTACACACACAGGTAGGTGTATAAAATATATTTGAGACACTTGCTGCTTTTCCAAGAAACTTTCTAACATACAGCCATACTGAATCTAAAAACATCTAACTGAAGAAAACAGTAAAGCCACATACTTTTCTAATGCGTTTTAACTGAGCTCAGAGTTAGAGTCCATTTTGCCTTGCTATTTTGTGTTCACGTGGTATACTTTGTTTTTTATCTTTCACTTTTTAAGAGTATGTTGTTCTCCCTTCTCTCTCGCTCCCCCAGCTGTGATGTGTCACAATGGTATGCTTTATCATCAGTGCTCTTCCTTTTGTAAACACTCCTGTGCTTCACTTTCTATGGCAAATAGCTGTGGCGATGACTGTGCTGAAGGATGTAATTGTCCTGATGGGAAATATTTTGAAGAGTCGGTCAACTTTTGTGTATCAGTGTAAGTCATGCTAAAATAGAATATATGTGTAGGTACGTTTGCCTCTTTCCAACAAGCTTCTGAAAGATCGTTTTTCTTCTCCTTCCCTCAAGATGTGGAGTGCCTAAGAAATAGGATAGAAAACAATATGTGAATATATGTGAATTCTTTTGTACTAATGGCTTCATCTAAATATTGTGTGTTAGAACCATCTACAGCACTTCAGAGGTGGTGTGTCACACTGCTTTAGAGAAGAGTGATACAGCTTTTCTAAATCGTGGGAAAGCATTTTTATATGAAAAGACTGTTTTAGAAACTTAGGGAAAAAGCGAGAAGGAACATAATGGTAACCCACAATGTCACGGACAGTATGGACACAGTGACTGAGAGTGTCTGTTTTCTCTATCTCTGCAAAAACACTCAGTTAAATGAGAGAGAAAAGGTAAATGAAACAAAATTGGTTTTATTACACTCTGTACCTACATTTTACAGCATATCGCCATGAGTAGTTACTGAATTTAGATTTTGAATTAAAAACTGGAATGAATAGTTATATAAATTTCAAGATCATTCAGATTTACTGCTGTTCATTATGACAAATATTTTGGAAAAGTCAGTAAAGTTCATGCTGCGGGGGATGAAGCCTGTTTCAAAGATTTAGAGTGTGAGGAAACCTGGCATTCCCATATTACTGTATGGCGACTAGAGAATTCTGATACTTCTGTACCATCTGGCTATTATCAGAGTCAGGGTTCCTTGAATAAGTGGACTCTGCTGTGATAATTCCTCTGTCCCACAGTTTTGGCACTACTTTGATCAGGAGCTACAGGTTGCAGTACTACTCCCATAATTGGGAAATAAAACTTTTCTGTTATAATATGGAAATATAAGGAAAATCCTAGCTTTGAGGCTAATGGGAGTTATGCCATTGCCTCCAGTGCAGCCAGAATGTCATCCTTTAATTTTTGCCTTTAATTAGATGTGTATTATGAATATAAACAAAAAGATTGATTTAGTGAATTACAAAGCCTGTTTATCATCATAGTTTGATAAATGAGTTGACCTTAAATCCCATTTCATTTTGCTTTTGTAACCACATGCATAAGTATTCTTTTAACAGATCTGCCTGTCGTTGTCATTACAAGGGCAAAGCCCTCCAGCCTGGAGAAATCCTCCTCACGCCAACAGGTTCCTGGTAGGTTTGAATACGAAAGCTGTTTCACACCTTGACTGCTACTGAGGTATTTTCATATAGAATGAAGGTCTATTGTATCAAGACTATTTTTTTTTTTTTTTTACTACACTGGGGAACAGGTAGTCTATAAATTGGATTACATACATTTTTATTTTAACAAAAGCTTCATAAAACATAACCAGGAATTTAGCACTGCTGAGGACATCTTTGTGTGATGACATGCAAAATTCTGTAAGCCAAGGGCTAAAATGCATCTCAGAACACGTGCACAGAGGTTGCAGTCCTATTCTTAGGCTCAGGGGCATTATGACAGCAATGTGAGGCTGGTTTCAGAAGAATAAACAGCATGATTCTGTTTTGGAAGGCCTTGCAAACAAGGCCTTGCGGGGAGCTATGTTTTTGTCATTTTGTATGCTTTATTTATGATGGAATCCTGACCTTACTGAAACAAGTGGGGAAACCTCCCAAGTCTCCTGGTCAAACTTCTTCATTTAACAAAAAAATCTGCTAATTTAAAAATGTATCTGGGATCTGAGTGTCAAGTTTGGTTCTTGCTGAGGTCTCACATATTATGGCTGTTACAACTGAAGCTTGGTAAGCCTACACTTCATTTTTCTGCCATTGCTATGCCTCTGCACATATATGGTCTGCTACGTGTGTACACCTGACCCTCTCTTTCTCTCTCTCTCTCTCACACTCTCTGTATATATTTTTTAAGGAAGAGGAAAAAAATGAGGCCTAGGTTTACTTTCTACTGTGTTTTTTATGACTATATTTTATCAACAGAAGAGTCAAGCTCTGTATCCTAACTTTTCTGTAAGAGGCAATTTGCATACAGTACCCTCCCATATTCACCAAGAGGAATAAGGTTTTGTATTGCATTGCCAGGATCCTGAACCACCTGGGCTTATATGCCCACAGAAGTTAAAGTACCCAGCTCCCTTTTTTATTTCAGGGATAGTTAAGCAGTTGAATGTTATATAATATTCAACCTCTTAATACCTCTGTGAGTCTAGGCCCCTCATTACAGAACAGCACTTAGAAATACAAACAAAATGTTGGTCAGATCGTATGTTTTTGGATTTTAAGCATTATTCTCCTCCCAGTTGCAGTTGTTTAAAATGGGTTAAAGTTGTACTGTGTTTTTTAACATGGTGGTTGCAAAACATATTTTTCTCCTGGAATAAGGATCAATTTGCTTTTCTTTTTGCCAGCCAGTGTTTGAATGGAACAATGAAATGTATTGAAGCCACTACAGAAAATACAGGTAAGTTGTATTCTTGTCTCGTATTACAGTTTAAAATTCCAAGAGAGATATAGGTCAATATGTTCTAATGAGAGTGCCTAAAATTAGGCTTGATATCCCTCTTTAGGCAGACTCAGAACCTTGATTTCCAGAAAGTAAATTTTTAATGGATTTAGAATGGATTTCAGTGCATTGAATGTTATGGCACTTCTGAAAATCCTGTCTACCTAAGGCCCCTAAGAATGGGCTATGGATCAGACCCAAGGTGTGTAGATCCAGATGCTAGGGTTTAGTATTTTTGTTTGCTATACATTAAAACACATATATATTAGTTATATCCCTCATATAATACAAATGAAGCCATAGGCTATGATTTTCTGGTTGTATTCATATGTATACTGTTATATATGCTAACTGTGCATTAGAAGTAGATAGATGAACTAAAACAAACAACAGAAAATCTTCAGTGTAAAAGAGCAGTTGATCTCATTTAACCTGCATTTCACGTTTCAAGTTCACATATGCCCTGAAGGAAAAATCTACTATGACTGCAGATCTCCTGTGCCTGGATTACCAGCAGCTGGTGCAAACTGTGGGGTCTCCTGTGCAAACCTTGCTATGAACTTCTCCTGTGTCCCCTCACCACCTTGTGCAAGTGGCTGTATTTGCCCTCCAGGGTAAGCCTTTGTTAGAATGCCCTGTAGCACCAGATGTATGTATACTTTTCACAATATGACTCCACATAATCGTGGATTTTTTTGTTTTATTTTTTGAATTCTGGTTTTGATACTATTGTGCTGTCATTTTTTGAAGAGGTATAATATGGTCGTAGTTAAAAGTCCAACTCTTTCTTTTGTCTCTTTGATAAAAGCCAGCTCCTTCTGGCTGGTGCGAGGCTCCATGCTGTAATGCTTCCTGATTTGGAGTCCCACAGTTATCCCTGTTCTGAGACCACTGTTCAAATATCCCATGAAATACCAAGCATGCTCAAAAAGTCTGGTCGGGTGTGTTATTTTGGCCTCCCAAGACAGGGGATGACTCCCACCACTTACACAATGTAGTTTATTTGGGTGTAGAAGCAAACATGACATAAAATCATAGCACAATACACCGACATTGCTGTTTGCTGCCTGACTAACTGTCTTACCTAGATGATGCCGATCCCTGATCGGGGGCAGAGAGGGAGGCACTGCAGGCTGGATCCTGCCCTCCTCTCCTTCATGCTCTCTTTCCACTCTTCCGAATTCAGCCGAAGCTTTTGTTTTCTCAGCTCACATGTTTGGATTTGGTTTCCAGAAACAGTCTGCAGAGATCAAATCAAAGTACAAAAGCAGAAAGCTAAAAGTAGAAGGCTAAAAGTATTTGTTGCACAGTTCCTATCAGGATCTACCACCGCTCTGTCCATCTGTGGTTTTTTTCCTGATTCCTCTTATATGCAGTCACTTTCAAATGTGAAGAGTCAAATGAGAAGTGTAATTTGCTGCAATTCTATCTTAAGTGGAGCGGTATGTAGTTTTTAACCAACATTTGATTTTATTTCTTTGTATGTGTAAGTCAGTGGTCACTGACAGTATATTGGTTGTGTATACATCAGAGTCTAATAAGACTGTCAGAATTCCCCTTCCAATAACTTGTCATATACACAGATAACTAAGTACTGCTGAAGGATAGATTTCAGGCATAACTGTTTTAGATTTTACGAGCTGCCCTTGCCTGATATTCTGTTGTCCTCACCTAAGGAATCAGCTTCTAAGACCACTGGTAGGTAGTATAGAAGTAAACAATTATTTTTAACAAAAAATGCATGAATCTATGCAAGCTATCATGTAAAAATTGATAATTATTTACTGATACATCCTCATAATATTTGTATAAGCTTAAGCTACCAGCATTGTCATGAAAATCCATTTGAAATTTTGAAATAAGTAAAACAGGTTAAAAAAAAGCTAGCCCCACACTCTTGCTGAGTAGAATTGTACCATTTAAAACTGAATATATTACTTCGTTCTCTTCTGAATGATAAAATGTAAAGGGGATATGGAAAAGCTAAACACCGATTTCTGTCAAATAACGGAATAAAACTATCTGATACACGAGTTATTTGGGTGCAAAATTAGCATTTTTAAAAAATTTAATGGAAAAGTAAATACATAATTAGTACCATCCTCAGTGTTAAATTATATTTCTGGAGCCATTATGCTTTTTGTGCTCATAGATCTAGTAGCTAGTTAGTGGCTTTGAGCTAGAAAGGGTCCAGCAGGGTTATCTTTAAAATTTGGTTCAGAAGTTCTCTCTTTTATAGAAGAAAATGTTAAGTATATACTTCACGATATTAAATCTATATGGACAAGGCATGAAAACCCTGTTATGAGAAGTTTTACTACTATGTCATTTCTTATTCTATTAAAGTGCTGTTCCTCTCCTTTTTTGTCCCTCCCCGCCCCTTTTCTGCCCACAGCTATTGTTCAATCCAATAATCTAGCCTTTTGGGGTAAAATCTGGAATTGTCCCAGGTACTGGTGCCAGTTTCCAGCCTCCTGAATATTGATAGAGCTTGCAAATTAAAAGTCCCCATGCATGGTATTGAAGGCCTCTCCTTTGGAATGCCATGACTAGCTGGACTCTAGCGTCCAAAAATGATCCTCTTAAAGCAAGAGTATTTAGTACTTAAAGAGGTGACAAGGAATAAGAAACACTGAATCCCTGGCATTCTATAGAAATTGAATAGAATTGCTCAAAACTTTATGGGGAAACGGGATAAGAACCAAAGCAAGTTCATTGTCCAAAGATACATTGGAAGACATCCTAGCACTGAGATGGAGATAGAGTAGGATAGATGAATCACGGAAGTGTGAAGAATAGAGTGGGAAGAGACCTTACGAGACCATCTAAGGTTATTCTTCTGCCCTTAAGCAGCATCAGCAATACTTAGGTTATTCTCGGCAGATACAAACTAACTTCCATTGATGGACGCTCTAAAGGACCTTCCCAAGACATCTGTTCTAGTGCTTTCCTGTCTTTAATTATTTTTCTGAACATTTAACTTGACTCTTTTATTTAAAACAGCTTAATCTTTAATGAAACGGTAATTGCAAGGTGAAAAAAACAACTCCATGTGTTGCCTTTAACTTCAAGATAAGCAATGTCAAGCCTATACTTGGAAAACAAATCTCTCTGCCTTGTCAACTCTCAGAATGACAACTGCAGTAATTTCTCCCCTACAAAGCAACACTGGGAATGTCTGTAATGCTTTTGTAAGGTTAATGTTGCTAAACCGCTGGAAATGAGGAGACAGCAAAAAGTGGTTAGCCAGACCTCTGAGTCACTTATTCATGCTCTAACTGGACTTGTAGCTTTTTGCATTAAATGACATCAGATTGGTCTAACCTCATTAGCCTAGCCATTTCTGCTTCCTCAGTATAGACAGGTAGCTTCCACCATCGATCTTAGTCAGCTGTGTTTCTTCTGTCCTGATACCCCACAACAGCTGCCATAATCCTGCTTGCTGTCCTGTGCTTGGAATAGGATGGCTGTGACTCTGGTTAAAGGAGCAGACGCATTGCTTCAGTTGCTTGCCTGTGATGGGAGGAGGATGGAGCAGCAAGGAGGAAGGACCAGCCCCCTAGAAGCATCCCTCACACATGGATGCACTGCAGTTAGGTGGGAAGCAGCAGGCCCAGACACTGCCCTTGCTGTTGTTGCAGAGGGCAGGGGGAGCAATCTCAGTTTCTGTGCCCTCGTGCAGGAGCAGAGCCTCACGCAAACTTCTCCACCTCATGGTAGAAGGAGCTGCAGCTGTGAACCTTGCTAGGTCTCCAGCTATGCAAGGAGATCATTTGTTCTGGGCAGCTTTTGCTGCTGCAGCAATTGCCCTTGCTGCCTGAATGGAAGACCAATTGTCTTTGGCTGGGTTTAGACAATGCACCACTCAATAAACTGCGATGATCTACTTGTAAATTTGTTCTCATATTAAAAAAATATATATTTTGTTTTGAAGGATGGCAGAGCATAGAGGGAAATGTTATATTCCTGACAGTTGTCCATGTACCTGGAAAGACAGAGAATTTCTGTCAGGAGAAGTGGTAGCTACACCTTGTTACACCTGGTAAGTGACGTACATTTTACATATTTCCCAATCACTGGGGTCCTGCCACAAAGGAAAATTTATTCAGTACAGTGAAAGTCAAAAATACATATGCTTGTTTGTAGACAGTTACAGGAAACATCTTTTATTAGACGCGCTGATAGACTTTGTCTGCTACACCAAGTACAGCAGAGTAGACTTTTGGGTGAGCATTTGCTTCTTCAGGTCTGAAAAAGAAGACGAAGACATCCAAGTTAAAACCAATTAAAACCAATTATTTGATTAGATACGTATTAGTTAATCTGTGAAAGAAGACAGTTGATATTTCCGAGAATGGAATATCATGAAAGAGAACCAGGGAGAAAAAGAGGAAATTAAATGTATGACAGCATTAAATAGTCTGTTTCTTTGGGAACTGGACTGTTTGCAGTGTGAGTTATCACTCGGCATGAGCAGGGGCAGTGGAAAATCTGCCGTATGTCAAGACTATGGAGGAGTTGGCCATAAAAGAAAGATGAAAATAAGAAAGCGCTATAAGTGGAAAATGAGGAATCTTACCTGACTCATATTGACACAAAACATATTTTCATCCATTATGTTTTGCTATCCCAAGAATCTATCTTTAGTTAAAAAAAAAAGTTTGGCCTGGCAGTTTTTAGTCAGCTGGAAACATCACTGGCAAATTCATTGAGTTTATATGCTTACACCTGCAGAATAGAGGCTCTCTATACTTAGGATGCTCCTAGTCTCGTACAAATATGTGCAAGTCACTGAATGTAACTGACAGGAAAAATAATTCCTGAAAGCATGAGCATTTCTTAAGCTCACTTTGTACTTGCTGAATACCTTGAAATCCTACTGGTAGCAGCTGGAGGTCTTTTATATTGATTACGTGCAGCTTGCATCTCAGCAAATGTATTAAAATATCTTTAAAAATGTATAATAATGATGTTTTATGAATGTGTGTGTTGTGGCACAGTGTCTTAGTTATACTGGATACAGTGATGGAAATATTTGCATATGCCATACAATTTTTAAGATTTTATGTTCATTTCTTACACATTCTGATGTGCTTTTATGCTAATGGCCAAACGCTCACAACTTTTCTCTCCCTACATCACCCATAATTTCAGAAGCAATCCACAGAATAGCTCTGTGTTTGAAGATCTGAGAAAATTCTTTCCTTCATGAATTTCTGTATGACTTGGATAACAAGCACAAGATTTTTTTTTTCTTGAAAATACGAAAACACATGGCCCTGCTATGACAAGTTTCTGACTGTTATCTCTCCTTCCAGTGTTTGCCGGAGAGGGGTATTCAATTGCACTAGTTATCCCTGTCCTGCTGTATGCACTGTTTATGGAGATCGACATTATTATACATTTGATGGATTAGAGTATGATTATGTCAGTGACTGCCAAGCTTATTTGTTAAAGGTAGGAGAATTGTTCATATGTTCATTTTTTCATATTTTCATGTGTCCAAGTGAAAGTTTTTTGTGAGAAGCCAGTCTCTAAGTTTTTTGAACAACAGGAGATGTTATATAGAAAGAGACATTAAGAAAACGGGCACAAAACATTTGAGTCTAAAAGGAAGAATTTATAAATGACATTTTTTGCTCATTTACTTTGAAATTGGTACCTGGGATAATGTCAGTATGTTGCTATGTGGTCTGAGAAAAATAGAAAACGGTATTCTCTTCTCTACATTGACTATGCTTTTATCACAATGAGGGAAGACAAACAGCATAGAAACTGTTCTAGATCTAGGTATAATCTATAGATTTATTTAATAATTAACTGTAAACTGTGCCTGGCAGGCAGTTAATGAGGACCCCTGAGGCCACTTGGAATCATTCTTGAATGTGATCTGCATCACATCTGGAGTGTATGAATAGAATAATATCAAACACAATGATTTCATAATTCAACAATGAAATCCCTAAGATTGTCTAGCAGCTATGTGCTAACGTTCCTCCTAGTACACGTTTACAGTCATTGCTTGCCTTTTTTGTTTAAAATACCACTACTGATGTTTAGAAATGTATTCTCCTGTTACTAACAATGCTATTATTATCATTTTTGCTATTATGAAGGCTGGGAGTTGGTCTTCTGAGTTACAGTAATGCTTTCAGAATATTATTTGTTATCAACTGTAAATGCCTAACTTTAAGAAAAAGCATGGTTTCTCAGCAAGGACTGCTGCAAATGATTGCATTTCATGAGCATGTTGGTAAAGTATTCACAACTGTGAAATAAAATAGAATAACTAAGTAACACTTTTTGAATGTACACTATAGGGATCTTTGTCCCAGATATTTTTTCTGTTTCAAAAAAAAAAAAAAGGGAGGGGGATTGATAAAGATGATTTGAACTTACCTACCTTCACCGAAAGATGCAGGAAGGTATTCCCAGTAAACTAATGTCTCACAGCAAACTCCTGGCACATATCATGTTATCTCGTAAAAGAGCTCTTACTCAAAGAGCTATATCAACCTTTGCATGAATTCTCCTCCTTTAAGATGCAAAAAACAAGAGTGACCTTATTTTAAAATCCTCTTGTTTGTATGACAAGCTGAAAAAGTGGGTTGTCGTTTCTTAATTCTTAAGCCCTCCAGAGAGGTGTGTAAGACAAATCTTTGCTACTTTTCAAATTTTAGTGTGATACTGGAATTTTTTTTTTTTCTTACAATCAAATGTCACCTACCTCATATGAAAGTACCTATTTGGAAACAAACCATGGGGAGCATTTGGAGTTCAAGAATGAATAATTAAGACATGTGGCACACTGCCAACAGTCCTTTCATCAGGTGAAGACGATGACACAAGTGATGAAAATGATGCCTATGTAGATTTGCGATACCAGAACAAGTCTTGTCATACTGGAGATGGCTGCAACAGTAGCTCTACCTAGCTTTTCAGACTTTTTTTTTTCCCTACCCTCAAACTTAGCTAATGTGAGAGCATAGCCTAATTTGTTCATGAGTCTTAGTTTTTCATTAGTATATAGAAAACTTTCATGATTTTGACTGAAGGACTGTTATTACAGATAGGACATTACATAATTACGTGTGGCACAGATGATATATCTATGGGTTCAATTTTGTATGTAAAATATTCGGAAAAGTTGTTTGAGGGAGCAGGGGAGGGAAACCCAAAGGCTGAGTTCATAAGGCAGCTGCCCAAAACCTTTGAAAGAACTAAAATACAAGAATTAATGAACTATGTTATGTGTATTCCTGGAATCAAAAGAATGGAGAATGCCAGTATAACCAAATATTTTAAAAGGATTCTATGGCTGAATTTGGCAGAAACAGATGAATAAGCCTGATTTCCTTATGAAGAATATATATGGGAAGAATTGAACTTTTTTTGTTTTTGGTAGAAGAAAGTCATGCACAGTAAGACTTCTGAGTTAAGAGATCGTCTGAGTAACATAGTAAATATATGAGTAAGGGTAATCAGGTCAATATATGCATATTTTAGATTGAAATACCTTTTGGGGACAGATTTTAACAACTTTTTTTTAGATTAGTCCTGCTGTAGGATGAGAGTGAAGATTCTCTCATAGGTGAATTGAACGTTAGAAATGAAAGGATAGGAATAAATGGCCTAGCCAGTTCCCTGTGGGAGACATCCCTTTCGACTCCAGGCTTCAGCTGGGCAGCCCAGTGCTCAGATGATGTACCTGTTTTTCCATTTGTTCTATGCCTTCTGTGAGCGGTAGATGTGATTACAGTTGGCAATGGATTTATGCTCTGATTCCATTTTCTCCAGATCAATGATCTCAAACTCAGTTACCTCTACGTGCCTTTCTGTCTCTACCACCTGATTCTCCAGACCATTAAATTATGCGGTGAATGAATCACTTTCATCCTCCAACAAAGGAAAGATTTCTTTCAATTTGTGCAGATTAGCACGGAAGGCTTCCAGGAAAGGCTAGGGGAAAAGTTTCTTGACATGAGACTGGCCACTTTGAGGAGCTGTGCGTCGTGTGATTCAATAGCTGGATCCTCTTTTTGAGGAATTTGCCATTTAGTGACCACACAGCTTGAGGAAAATAACCTTTTAAGCCTGGATTTCTGCTTTTGGGCTAGTGTTCAGCATCCAACAGTCCTCTGGCCATACCGACTCTAAAATACTGTAATCTGGTGGCTGCTTATAAAGCCAGATCATGGTAAGAATGCTACCTGAGTTCAATAGCCTCTCATGGGGAAAGCTTTGTGGGTTGTTTATATCCACGTTCTATTAATGCAGCAGTAAAAGACAAGCAAAAAATAGCAACCTGTGCTGTGTTTCAGGTAGCTGTATGGTATGTTGTCAGCAGTGAAATGGGAGCCTTTGGCCATGTTTAAAGTAGGGGTGGGATGCTCAAGCTAGTCACCTGTAGAAGCTGCTTAGCCATTAGTGACCTGTGACTCTCAGTCTTGTTGGTGAGCTATGAAACTGTGAATTACATTTACTGTGGTCTAGGTCAAGACATGAGAATCTTTGTATCTGAATATATAGAAACTAAACTTTAGCCTCTAGCAATGTAAATGAACACATATAACATTCATTATGTTAAAAAAGTAAGCTTTGCGCAAGTTTCAGCTTTCTAGCTCCTGTCATCACTTGCTGAAGCTCAGAAAAGGCAAATTTATTACCATGATGTCCTGTCCTTTTCTTTGATTATGTTGTGCTTTATCGGTACAAATCAACATAAAAAATACATTCATTGTGCGTTTATAGTAATAAAACAATAATAATAGGTCTCATATACCTATTTAGTTGTCTAAAACTAACAACACCAACTGTGTTGCTGATCTGTATATCAGAATAGCTTGTGCTGGCATTTATATCACTTGAAAACAGGTATTTGAATGTTCCCAGTTCCTTAATCTAGGGAATATCTCATTTTTAATTAGAAAAGGATTGCAGAAACGTAACCTGTCCAGAAGCCAGATCTGATGCACAAACAGGCAAAGTTAAATAAATGAAACAAAAAGCAATCTGTTTTAAATGATCTTTTCTTGGACCTGTTAGCGTAATTCTCTTAAAATATATATTAAAAAAAAAAAAAGAAACCAAAACCTGCTCAGCTCTGTTTGATTTCATCAAATTTTCAAAAATTAAGGAGCAGTGAATTAGAAAAAGGTTTTGAAGTATGTCAAGTAAAAAGATTTCTTGTCATTTACTTTTCCATATCAGCATTTTCAGTATTAGATTTAAAAAACCCCTATTTGCATTTTAAAAGTATTGTTGATAAAACCTGGAAACAGCCAACAACTCTAAACTGTCATAAAATTTATATAATGTGTGTAGTAAAATCTGATCTAGATTGTCCCCATCTTTCCTATAGCTTGTGTACATACGGACAGATACTCGTACTAGATCTTTCTAAAGAGTTGTCAGGAGTTTAATCTGCCAGAGATGTATCATTTGGGGAAGTTACTGTAAAGAAATAGAGAAGAGTTAGCATGAGTGCGTTAGCAGACATCTCAAAGTATGTTGGGGGTGAGGCAGCAGCTGGAACAATCTTCCCTCTTCTTTCGAATTTGCTTTAGTGATTCTACTCGAAGATGTTGCTGTCCTCCATGTTTACTCAGTAGTATTATAGCACTAGAAATGTGTCATCTTTATAGGTTTATTGCAAGTTTCCTTGCCTTACTTTGAGTGAAGAAAATCACTTAATCTGCGTCTCTGTAGAGCAGAGTAAGGAAAAGAGAAGAGAGAGAGAGAATGTGTATGTGAGAGACAGAGCGAGAGAGTGCAGTTTAGCTTTTAAGCTCTTAGTTCCTAAACATATTTTTTAAAATACTTGTGTAGAAGTGCATTGCATCAGTAGAAGGATAAGTAATATTACCATTCCTTTCTCTGTTCCTTTTGCCCAGTTCTCTCCTGTAAGATGATCACCTACTATGTTTTGAGACTGTTATATCCCAACTCTTTATTTGGATTTCTTTCAAAACTGAGACAGTGTGTATCAGTGCCATCTGCTGACTCCTAGAAATATTGCACGCAGCTCCCGTGTTGAAATAGCTTTGGGAAAGTCTTTTGAGAGTACAAATTTTTACAGGATGCAAAAGTAGGGATTAAATAAAGCTATGCAGAATGTGTGTGTATCATTTCAAAATGGTGCAGGAGAAAAAATGATACTGGCAAAAAGAAAAACCTTCCAGAGATGCTTCTTGGCATACATTGTGAATGAGTTTTGAATAATTAATAGGTTTACACAGATTATCTGGAAATCAGCCCCTCTGTAAAACGGCACAAAAAACTAACAGGGCAAGATCATGTTAGGTGCCAAGTACTTTGTCCACTCTCCAAAAACACTTAAATATTTATGCTTAGACGCTCACTAAATCTGGTCTGAGAAGCTTGACTTCTTGCAGGATCAAGCTCTCTGCAAGTAATTGATTTGCAAAGCCACAGATTCAAATGTTCAAGTTCCTTCA